TATTATCTTGCCGACACGTTGTCTTCATAACGGGATTTCTTCTTTTTTGCTTGAATTTTTTAAATTCTCTTTTGAACTCTTTCGTTAGAAAATCGAATCACTGCCTTCTTCGGTGTTGTATACAAACATCACTTATGCACAAACTGGTTGTGTTAAACAAGCGGCGCACCCGCATGTCCATAAAAATGGTTTCCTCCCCTCCGAGATGCATCAAATTATGCAGCAAAGCAAAAAATGCTGATTTAGAAATTACCTTTTTAAACGGCTACATGGAATTATGTGGATGAGAGAGGCTTAGGATAAAAATTAATGGAGAAGTTGTCAGTCGTGCCAGTGGTGAGAAAAAATGCGACGATGAAACATGTTTGGTGAAAAATAGACAAGTGACCCATATTTTTACTCAAAATTATTAAACCTGAGAAGAGGGAAACGAAAAAGGTGCGCCGTTGAATCTTCGGTTGCAAAGAAAACAATTCATTTCCCAGTGCTTTTGTATCACTTTTTTTTTTTGATTAAATCTTGATTTTTTTTCAGTCATCTGATTTAATAAATTTGATATAATTCGTATTTAGCTTTGCTAGGATCGTCAATAGCAAGGCGATCACCACTGATCAAAGCAACTAGAAATGTCGACAGGCACATAGTTGGAGAAGCAAACAGTGTACTGCGGCTGATCAAAGTGTATGTCTGGTATGAAAAATCAAGAACAAAAAAAGTCCATAGAAAGGAATTGACAAATGTATGCTTTTTGAAGCATACAGTCACAAACAAGGGGGGGGGCCTAAATTCGCAAGGGCCTAAATTTTTGAATTTTAGAAAAGAAGTCGAAAAAATTCAAATGCAATTAAACGTTTGGATTTTTAAGCAGCTTGAGATGTTAAGAAAGTTCTAAAAACTTCTTTATACGTGGTTCAAGCTCTCATTTTTGGAGGTCTTAAAAAATTAAAGGATTTTAAAAAATCGTAGTGAATCGGATTTTCCGGTTTCTTTTTTTCTTAAGGAGAAATGAGCTCAAAAATTTTGAACTATATTTATTTAAACGGGACCGCAGACCGTTGCAGCTCCCAGACCACGTTGCGGCACTTGCTTTCTACGAACGCATGATAGATGGTCACGAAAACACACGATTTCTGCCTCTAGTACGCAGCGCTACTTATTCCTAAAGTGTGAACTTGTTTTTTGGTTGTTTGATACATTTGATAATGTACTGAGAAATATATGCTGTTATAAAAACTGAGGATTTTTCACCAGAAATTTCCCCCGTAAAATTGGGCACCATGGGCAGAATTGTCATTTGTAGGGGACGGCTGAAAAAACTCCAAAATATAAAATTTCATTATTGAAAATAAAACTCTATGTCTAACAGAAAATCAAGGAAATCATTTTTTTTTTGCTCAAGAATCATATCGTCCGACTTCTTCACCATCGTTGTTTGTAAGCCGACATATAAGCAGCATCGTTTTCAATAATAATACAAGAATGTCATCGCAAGGCGGACAACAGTATCAATTTATCATCGAAACGAATGTACGAATAACAGATTGCCCCGTGAAAGAAACGAATTCCCGACTTTGAGTACAGGAGTGGTGCTATTTTTAAATCATGCTCGACAATAATCTTTGGAAGACAAAAAAAATTCAAAAAAAAAAAAAAAACACCAACCACAGACAAATTTCCAGTCCCCACAAAATGGATGTTCTACCCACACAATGCTAGCATGGCTCTACGATAAACGATTTTAAGCTCCTTAGGGACAGTGCAGTGGGTTTTTATGCGTTTTTGCACGTATGAAAATGCATATATTTTTGCACATCACCCCCTTGCACTTCAGTATTGCGTACGAACTCCTTAAAAAAACACGTAAATTTTCTGGCGGGAAAGCGATCTCGGAATTCAAAGGATAGAAAGCTGGAGCCTCGTAAACATATTCTTTGTGTGTGCGTGGGTTCAAATTCAACTCCTAGGTGTTCGTAATTCAAAAGTACGAGCACCTGAAATTTCTGGCAAGAAAATTCCTAACTCGGGAGCCAGAAAAGCTAGGATGCTGAAATTTTAGGGGAATGTTCGCTGCCCAAGTACAACTTAAATATTTCAAACTCAGTCTCCAGGTATGCATGGCTTTCACGTTTGAGGCGCATAAATTTTTGGCGGGAAAATTGCTCATCGAACAGCTAGGTCACTTTCAAAAAACGACAGCTAAACGAAAATTGTTCATTTTCCTTTATGCAAAATTTACGATGATTTATGGTAGTAAGCGCAGAAGGTAGATATGAAGCAACAACCGTTCATGCAGTTAACGAACTACCTCAAGTTTGGTATAACCCAGGCTGGAATGCACCAGGCAGGCCGGTGTGATTATGCGTTTTTGCATCAAACTTTTAAGTACCGCCTCTCATAGAAGGGGAATAGGGAGGAAAGAAGGGGACCTCCAATTATTTCACCTCAGGACGGGATTTGATCATTTGTGCGAATCGACGAATTAACCATCGCTACCCCGCACACTGACCAGGGCAACTTCAACTTCCAAGCTTTCGCAGTTCTTGAAGTGAAGTGAACTAGTACATTCCTCATTTTCAACTACCACTGCATTTCGCTGTTCTTCTCCCCTCTTGCCGCTCCCTCTCCTGCCCAGGCCAGGAAATCAATGACGTGGGCGGGACCACCCCCGCACCCCTCCCCCCGACTAATTCACCGTCATTAGCAAGTGACGTCAATTCAAATTTTCCGCCTATCGTAACTAATCTTAGTCGTACGTCAACGGGCCGCGCCGCGTTTGCAACGTCGATAAATCTCACTTATTTCTTACGCGCAACCACTGAGCGGTGGTTGTGCGTAAGAAATTCCATGGGCTTCCTTTCAAATTCTTTCAAATCGCAGGTGCACTGTCC